TTAATCATTTCCCAGAGATATTGACTGTCGCTTGTGCTTTGGACCACAGGCATGTCTTTTATAAGCTCTACTGACTGACTGACTGAGTGAGTTTGGTTTTACGCCGCTTTTAGCAATATTCCAGCAACATCACGGCGGGGGACACCAGAAATGGGCACAAGCTCTACTGTGTCTTTGTGTCACAGCTGGAATGTTGCGGACTCATTCACTCACTCACCACGGTCTTGGGTGTGACGAGTGAACGCTTCAGCTACCAGTCCACCCAACCACCAGACCCATGAACACTTTAAGGATATTTTATCTCGATTTGATGAATAATCCTGTAATACCTTTCAAAGCCATTTCGTTGTGTTAATGTTGCGATCTGGTTGAGTTGTTTTCAAAAGGCAGACATTGGTTGTGACTATGTAATTATATGAAGTATTTCAACACTCCCTCCAAACTTCAAACAGGAGCTCCGTCAGCTGCTCAAGAGATGAAGACCGGGAGGACGTCGCACAGGTGATGGATGTGCATTTGGCGTGTGGGTCATCCTCGTACAAAATCGGGCGCATTTACCATGCACTATCAGTAACATCGATTTTAAACCATGCACTGAGCGACACCCTCTGTAGCCATGAAGTTATGAAATAAGTACTACGTAACATCAATATTTACCTTTTAGTTAAAGAGGGACTCGTCACCTGCAAAATGGCAGTGCCGGCATATATCATGAAAGTACTTGAGAAACCTCAGCAAAGTTATGAAATTAGCTGTTTATGATCACATAAATTACATATGATTACATTAGCCAATGTTTATCACATGTATCAATTTTGTTTGTTCCGATTTGTGCCTCAATGACATATCCAGTTTCAAGTACCACCGGTTTCTGTCCCTTCGACATATCTTATTGTAAAGGTCTAACAGTTTCAAGGACTACCTATGTCTGTCCCTTCGACATATCTAGTTGTAAAGGTCTAACAGTTTCAAGGACTACCTATGTCTGTCCCTTCGACATATCTAGTTGTAAAGGTCTAACAGTTTCAAGGACTACCTATGTCTGTCCCTTCGACATATCCAGTTGTAAAGGTCTAACAGTTTCAAGGACTACCTATGTCTGTCCCTTCGACATATCCAGTTGTAAAGGTCTAACAGTTTCAAGGACTACCTATGTCTGTCACTGTGACATATCCAATTGTAAAGGTCTAACAGTTTCCAGTACCACCGGTTTCTGTCCCTTTGACATATCCAGTTGTAAAGGTCTAACAGTTTCAAGTACCACCGGTTTCTGTCACTGTGACATATCCAGTTGTAAAGGTCTAACAGTTTCAAGTACCACCGGTTTCTGTCCCTTTGACATATCCAGTTGTAAAGGTGCAACAGTTTCAAGGACCACCGGTTTCTGTTACTGTGACATATCCAGTTGTAAAGGTCTAACAGTTTCAAGTACCACCTATTTCTGTCACTGTGACATATCCAGTTGTGAAGGTCTAACAGTTTCAAGGACTATCTATTTCTGTCCCTTTGACATATCCAGTTGTAAAGGTCTAACAGTTTCAAGTACCACCGGTTTCTGTCACTGTGACATATCCAGTTGTGAAGGTCTAACAGTTTCAAGGACCACCGGTTTCTGTCACTGTGACATCTCCAGTTGTGAAGGTCTAACAGTTTCAAGGACTATCTATTTCTGTCCCAGTTGATCCCTGACATATCCAGTTGTAAAGGTCTAACAGTTTCAAGTACCACCGGTTTCTGTCACTGTGACATATCCAGTTGTAAAGGTCTAACAGTTTCAAGGACTATCTATTTCTGTCCCTTTGACATATCCAGTTGTAAAGGTCTAACAGTTTCAAGTACCACCGGTTTCTGTCACTGTGACATCTCCAGTTGTGAAGGTCTAACAGTTTCAAGGACTATCTATTTCTGTCCCTTTGACATATCCAGTTGTAAAGGTCTAACAGTTTCAAGTACCACCGGTTTCTGTCACTGTGACATATCCAGTTGTAAAGGTCTAACAGTTTCAAGGACTATCTATTTCTGTCCCTTTGACATATCCAGTTGTAAAGGTCTAACAGTTTCAAGTACCACCGGTTTCTGTCACTGACATATCCAGTTGTAAAGGTCTAACAGTTTCAAGGACTATCTATTTCTGTCCCTTTGACATATCCAGTTGTAAAGGTCTAACAGTTTCAAGTACCACCGGTTTCTGTCACTGTGACATATCCAATTGTGAAGACCAAATAGTTTAATAGGTTCATGGATCACCTATTTCTGTCACTGTGACATACTCAGTTCTAAAGGCCTAATAGTTTCAGGGACCATCTATTTGTGCAGGCACAACTGCATGTCGAATGTTGTTATAGGCCACTGCATCCATCCACCGCCGTGTCACAGTTCACGGTCAAATCACGCATTGTTGTCTAAGTTTGTTATTGAAGTCCAGATGTTTCCAGAATCCTCACTGATTTACAAGGTTCGACTCACCGCTTTTGTGATCCTTGTTTCCTGAAGCTCGAGCCCCTGAATTTATAACCTAAAACCTGAGCGTTCACTCAAATGTAGCGCCTTGTTTGTGTGACCTGCCTTCTTTGCTAAAAATAACGTTCAAGTGCTATTGTTTGATAGAGGTCAGGCATGACTGAAATAGTCTGCTCCCTTGCAAGGTACTGGCGGGGGACAACAATGTCGAGTCGTTCAAGTGAGTAGGTAGACTAACGCTTAGTCTCTGAATATATATAATTTAGATAGTAAAAAATAAACCCATTTAAATTGAAAAGGAGCCCCAGTCAGATGGGAAATTCAGAACCTGAAGGAATGTAGACTTGCTTAACTTAGGGCTTTATCATTGCAGGGAGGGCTAAGCAGTCGGGAAAATAATGTGGTTCAGGGACTGTGAGACAGACAAGTGCTAAGGGAACGAACCCAGAGTTTGAAGTGGCTAGTGCATTGGGTTATAACACTACCTGATGTCCTACTCCGGGGGCATGTCACGAAAGGTAATAGTTTGAAATACCTTGAATGATGGGTTCGTTACGGGCGTGTGTGGGAATACCGGGGTTTACAACTCAGTCAGAATATGACAGGTTAATTAATTGCTTGTTCAAGACCATGTTTCACTAATACTAGTAAATGCATTTTAAAGTGAGGGATTTACGATGGTCTTAGAATACGTGAATGAGGTGGATTTTACGCAGCTTTTAGCAATATTCCAGCAATATCACGGCAGGGGACTCCAGAAATGGGTTTCACACATTGTACCCATGTAGGGAATCGAACCCGGGCCTTCGGCGTGACGAACGAACGCTTTAGTATACCCCACCGCTCCGTCTGTCGTAACCACTTCGTACAAGTTGGTCCTGGATCCATTTACTCCAAATGAGCTCATTGCTAAACCTGTTAAAGTGCAGTAGTTACGAACTTACGATTATCTTAGTACTAAGGCCGCTTTGTTGAACGGACCCAAAACCATTTTCCATAAACTGATCTGCCTAGTCTACGTTAAAGTATGGATTTACTAAGGTCTTTGAACCTTTATCACTTTGTACAAACGGGCCCTATGACACATTCCTAAAAGGAATCTTAGTACTAAGGTATTATAGATACGATACCCTTAGTGCTCCGATCGCTATATGGAGCGGAATCCAGCACCGTGTTACATGAAGCGATCATATCGCTACAACTGTAGAAGAAAGGATAGACTTGCACAAGTCTCTAAGGTAATAATAAATAGTTTAAATGATAATTTCTATAAAATATAAATATTCCTTTCACGAACTGGGTTCTGTACTACCCGCGTATCTAGACTTGCTTCTTTATAGGATAGAATTACTATACACCAATGGGCTTAGCAGTCAGTACAGCCTTGGAGCAAGGTTAATGAAAGGAGTGCACAACTTGTTAGAGAGGAAAATACCTCTTCCTGGGAAGGCTCAGACATCGCATTACGTTAGCATTGGTCGCCAGGAACTTGTTCTTCTATCAGAACCCCTCATATAGTTAGACCTTGTTTGTCCGAACTCGACGGATACCGGACACCAATTGCCAGATAAATACGATTAGGGGGTATTCAAATGTATGCAAAGTCTGTGTGGTTTAATTCCCTTTCAGCAATAGTCTATTACTATCATGGCGGTGGATACCACAAATGGTCTTCACGCATTATACCCTGGTGGAGAATCAAACCCTGGCCCCCATTTCCAGATGAGAGAGTGTTGTAACCACTCGGCCACCGATCGTCACACATCAATAACTCCTTTCAGACATAGTCTACTGATTCCGATCCGACCAGTCCTTATGTTGCCAATCCATCTTTCAACGTCTCTGGAACCACCGACTTTCCGTTAGACCAAAAGCTTTACTTACATCACAGTAAAACATGAAGCAGTTCTTTGACGTTAGACGTTGCGCTATGGTGCAGTGAGTGAGTATGGTTTTACGCCACTTTTAGCATTGTTCGGGCAATACCACGGCGGGGGACTCTAAACATGGGCTTCACACATTGTACCATGTGCGGAATCGAACACTGGCCTTCGGCGTGACGAGCGAACGCTTTAACCACTAGGCTACCCCACCGCCGCTCACTATGGAGAAATCAGTGGGACTGTTGCTGCAAACCAAGAGACATAATCATGGACCGAGATTCGAACCCGTGACAATACATTCCTGGCAGGCCAGAGTACCCTTAGACCCCATTGTTTCAGTGAGTGAATGAGTTTAGTTTGGCGCCGCACTCAGCAATATTCCAGCTATATGGAGGCGGTCTGTAAAAAATCGAGTCTGGACCAGAAACTCTTGTGATCAACAGCATGAGCATCGATCTGCGCAATTGGGAACCGATGACATGTGTTAACCAAGTCAGCGAGCCTGACCACCCGATCCCGTTAGTCGCCTCTTACGACAAGCATGGGTTTCTGAAGATCAATATTCTAACCCGGATCTTCATGGGTCCACATTGTTTCAAGTTGGAAGAAACAAAGCGGTCTGTATACTCACTCACTCACACATTTCCACACAAGATAAACACTATCATTTCTTTAATTCGGAAAGTCATATCCGTGCAGTCCTAATTCGCTGCACATCTACCCAATAATCGGATTCTTTGGGTCCTTCGTCGTGTGATGCTGGTTCTGTGTGGCTTGAAGGAGACGCGGCAGTGTCTGCGTCCATAAGGTGACCCGGTCCTTATAGGGCTTGGATCCGACGGACATTGTGGTATTCAGCAGTAGATAGTGTTCCCCTGGCTCCGAGAACTGAGGCCAAGTCTGGTGCAGGCCATACTGTACAGCGTTGTTGGGATCACTGTAAAGTAGAAACAGCCCTCAATGATTATCAGATCACTTAAAATACTTCACAACATGCAGGTGAGCTACATAACCTTTGCATTATACCATTTCTCATGACACACATACACCTGCAGGAATATTCTTAAAAGTGAACTCTAATTAAAACACGTTGATTACTGGAATATTCTTCGTTCACGTTATTGTTTGTATAACAACATGGCGTTTTTTTAGTGAAGACATATTTCCAAAATACTATACTTCTATTTTGTGAAATGAATTTTGCTTGTGGACCAAAGAAACATTAAATACAAACAATGCAATAAAATACAGTGTGTGTTCCGGGAAGTTTATAATTAGTTAACTATGGAAGTGTATTATGTTTACAATGTTTATCACTTTGCCATCCTCTTTGCAAAGTAGGGTTACGTTGGTGGTTTGGTAGCCTTGAGCGAAACATTTCTTTGGCCACCAAAAAGTCCCGTTCTGGTCAGTATCACTGCATTGAGTGAGTGAGTGAGTGAGTTTAGATTTACACCGCACTCAGCAACATTCCAGCTATATGGCGGCGGTCTGTAAATGATCGAGTCTGGACCAGACAATCCAGTGATCAACAGCATGAGCATGCATTCACACATAGATGCAGTATGGGCCACGTGGGGATTACTCCCATGATGGAGGCAATGTGTCACGCCCCACCCCAAAACCTCGGGCATTCCGGGACAGAATATGTCTCGAAACCTACGCTGGACGTCACAGGTGACAAATTAGCTGGGGGGGTTGCACACGCTCACTTGGTTGACTACGTGGATTGTTGCTAACAATATCGACCACCTGATTGTCTAACCCTGACTGAATAATTTACAGGCAGCCACAGTGACCATATAGCTGGAATGTTGCTGAATGTGGCGTTCAACAACAAAGAGAACAAACAAACAAACAATTAGTCCTGCTTCACGTTCTGGACCCCGTTCCAGAAAGCGATCTCATCACCATGTTCGTCTTATAACGCTATGTTCGCTTTTGGAAACGGAGTCTCAATGAGACATTTCCGTTAAATGTCTAGAAGTTCTACCTCAAGTTGGTTGGTTGTTATTTTTGATTTTACGCCGCAGCACTATTCCACCTATATGGCGGCTGTCTGTAAATAATCGAGGTTCGGTCCAAACAATCCAGTGATCGAAAGCCAGAGCATCGATCCAATTCAATAACGACACGGCTAACACTTGACTGCTACTTGGCGATATCAGAGGAACTCGGGTTTGCATGCCTTCATTCTGAGATTCTGGGACTGTCCTTTAGGGCGAGCCTTGCCTCGGTATAAAGAGTATCAATAGTGCCCTAATCCGTTCTGTCCCATACTTGATTACGAACAGGCAGGAATAGTGCCGACTGTAGCTTAAAACAACACACAATCAAACAAAATATCTCTTCCCACCATACTGACACATTCAAACTCAAATCCTCCGTCGAATTCTTAAATCTTTTCTTATAAAGAATATTCAGCGAACATACCCATATCTTGCGAAATCTGTCAGCAGTCCCATCAATGTTTGGGCAAGCTTCTCATCGGCCTGGTCTGGATCTGTTATACTGTTGGGGTACGATTTTGCCAAAAAGGCGAGGTAGGCTTTGTTGAGACCAAAAGTGTACAGGAGGTCTTGAGCGTGATCCATCCCCTTGCCTTGGCGGCGAAAAAAGGATGGGGTGTGGTCGAACACGTACATGTAGGTCTTCTTCACCGTTTTCAAGCTGCTGGTTAGTTTTGAATGTGCCCTCGCAAAGACTGTCACGGGGGCAACCATTCCAGCATCACCAAGAGTGTTCATTTCTTCTTGAATGTTAACGGTATGGCTTTGAGAGGGGGCATACGCCTTAGCCACGGCCTGTGTCATGTCAGAAGAAGATGCTCCAAAATATACTTGCAGAAGATCTGGAATGAAGGTGTTCTTGTAGAATGTCATGTTTTGAACAGGTGAGGATAATGATGAGTGCAGCTTTTTATCAGTTGCTCCTGCAATAGTCCTGAAGATCGCTCCTTCATTGCTAACAACTGACACCATGCAGTCCAGATTCTGAAGTCCTACCTGTTCCAGGTAACTTGAGGAGTTCATCAGAACCAGCGGGTCGTCTTTGACAAACACCCCATCAACAGTCGGTACAAAATAAGAATCGACTAATGACGTGGCAGGTACAGTTGACATTGGCCAAGATGCTGCAGTCAGCATCAAGGCTGGGACAGTCCTCAGACAGGCGATCATGGATGTGGAATCGCTCTGGGAGGAACAGTTTACTTTATGAGCCAGTTGTCGTGCATATTTCAGAGAGTTCCTTGTGTGAGCCCATGAGGACGACGCAGACCCGCTCTGCATGATTGTCCTCTGAAACAAACCCTTGGACCCTGAGTACAAGGCCTGGAATGCCACACTAGCGGATCCTGCTGATTCTCCCATGAGGGTAATGCTGTTGATGTCCCCGCCAAAAGATGCAATGTTTTTCTTAACCCATTGCAGAGCAAGATGTTGGTCCCAGAGGCCATAGTTTCCCGCTGACACGTGGTCCTCTGTGCTGAGGAACCCAAGCGGTCCCAAGCGATATTGGATGGTCACCACTATTACCTGACCATGGGCAACGATCAGTGAAGGGTCATAGGTGAAAGCATCCCCGAAAACGAATCCCCCTCCATGTATCCAGACAATTACAGGAATGTTCCTGGTTTCCGTAATTGAGGCTGGAGTGAATACATTCAATGTTAAGCAATCCTCGTCCCCAGTGACACCATCAAAGCCCAAAAAATTGAGAATCTGAGGGCATGCTGAACCATACTTGTTTGCTTTGAAGGTGTGATTAAACCCAGGATGTGGCTGTGGTCGCTTGAACCGTCTACTCCCTGAAGGCGGAACAGCGAAGGGAATTCCTAAGAATGCATGGTAAGAAGTCCAGTCCTCTGTGACGTTTGTGGTCCCCTCAACTACACCCCACGGGGCGTCGATGACAGGCAGGGCGTTAAGGTGTTGCAAGGTGAACAGCAAGGTGAAGACCCCAATGAGAACCATTGCGTTGGTTTGAAGAACGACCACTCGTCGAGCTCTGGTTATTTTGTGTGCCAGTCACATGGGTTATACAACTGCTATGTTGGTATAAATAGTAGTAATACAAGATACTCTGTCCCTTATCTGCAATGCAAAATGTGCCAGCACCTTGCACAGTTCACATGTTCACAAATGACAGTGAATAGGCATTAAAGCCCCTTGCCATGATCTCGAAAAAATAGATTGGGTGTGGTCAAGCACATGCATGTAGGTCCTCTTCCTAGACTAACTCTTAGTCTCTAAATATATATATAATTTGATAGTAACAAACAAGCCCATTTAAATTGAGAAGGAGCCCCAGATATTGAGGAAATCTAGACTTGCTTTATTTAGGGTTTTAGCATTGCAGATAGGGCTTGGCAGTAGGGAAAATAATGTGGTTCAGGGACTGTGAGACAGACTAGTCCTCTTCCCTAATTTGAAGTTGCTGGTCAGTATTGAGGGAGTGCTCGCAAGGAGCATGGGGCATGATAATTAGTGTTCATTTCTGCGTGAAGATTAACAGTGTGACTTTGAGAGGGGGTATACACCTTAGTCACGGTCTGAGTCATGCCAGAGGAGGATGCTCCGAAATATGACTGCACAAGCTCTGGAATGAAGGTATATTATTGACGCTTTGTTCTGAGGATAATGATGTGTTATCGTCAGCTGCGTTTGCAATTAACTAAGTCCTCCTTCATTGCATATCAACACCATGCGACAAAACAGTAATAGTGTTAGTAATAGTAATGGTAATAGTCTGCTTATATGGCGCTCATATTCAGGCATATTACCTACTCATGCCTCTACGTGCATTGCTATCCCCGGTCATAGGACACCATCGTATTATCCGATGCTTTTTCAACTCCCTGGGGATCATACAGCCATGCTGCCTGTTAGGCGCAATGACATAATCACTCACATTGCCAGCACATCCTCACGGGTACCCATTCTACTGCTGGGAGACAATGTGGATTTTGGTATCTTGTCCAAGGATACAACGCAAATGTGCCAACCTTGGGACCCGAACCTAGGTGCCTCCACCGAGGATCGAACCCGGGACTTCAGCGTGATAGGCAGACGCCTCACCACTGCGCCATTTCGCTCCACAAAACCCTTTCCACATCCATAAGTTCCCGGTAATTTAGTGGGTTCATTAGAACCAGTGGATCGTCTTTGACAAGCGTCCCATCAATAGTATAGGTACAAAATAGAACTCGGCTAATGGTGTGGCAGGTACAGTTCCCATTGGTCATAATGCTTGGCTGACACAGTCCACAGACAGGATGCGGGACTGTTCTGGGAGGAACAGTTGAGCTTATGAGCCAGGTGGGTTCAGAGGGTTTCTTGTAGAAGCCCTTGAGGACGAAACAGATGCATGATTGTCCTCTGAAACAAACCCCTGGATGGATTTGTAAAATTATCGATGATAATGTGTGATGGTATCTCAGGAGATTTAGGAATGTATTTTGCTGCTCTTTGCCTTTTTAAACTTAAGTATCAAAGAACGTATTTGTAGCGATTGTGAACTTTGGGATTTATCAGTTTATATTTTTCGGGAGTGTGGTGTTTTTTTATAGACAAATCTGGAAAATCTGCTTCTAGCTCAAATTGAGCTCTTCAAAAACAGAAAATTCACATGCATGGTGTCCTGAAAAATTACGTGTTATATTCTATTTTTACTTTCATAAAAAAATGGTTTGAGTGAGAAAAAAGAAATACCAAAACCCACACCCAACAAATATATTGACGTAGAATAGAAAGTACACGTCTTGTGTTTTGGGTGTTTTCTCCAAAAAAGTAAAAATGTTTAGATTACATGTTGCCTTTACAGTTCTGTTTTGCGCCAACAACATATACACAGTCGACTGAGCCTGTTAATGGTTTGTCTGGTAAGGGCACAAATCAAAATTCCAACATTATCAGCAGCGGAGCGACAACGAGCCATTGGAATGTCGTTGATGGGGAGGGGGGCCATTTTGCTAGAACGTATTCCTGTACAAGGAAGACCATCATCAGACAAATAAGACTCCTCTGCTAGACTGGTCAGACGTTAGTCTGCCTCATTGTCCCTGAACCATATTGTTTTGCCTTATGTCCACCACTTTCTGCAATGTTAAAGCCCAAAATGAAGCAAGTCTAGATTTGAGGTTCTGAATCTCCCATCTCACTGGGTCTCCTTTTCAATAAAAGTGGGGTTATTTGAAACTATCAAAATTACAGATAGTCAGAGACTAAGCATTAGTGCAGTCAGATATTTGACTGTCCCAGAACTGGAAGAAGTGACCTGCGCATTCACCATCTGCGCAACCAGATCACAGCGCAAATCAGCATGAACAACGTTGGTTCACTGCATCACCGCAGCGTCTTGTGGGCATCCGGGCCTGTCGACCGTTTTGGGGCATGTTATTACCCGTCAACATCGATTGGTTCGGAATGTACGGCTCTGGCTCTGGGTACGAGGGGGTTGGCAACGTGTACACAATGTTTCAATGTTGTGACTTTGAAATCACGATCCAAACACTTTTATACAAAGAACTTAGTTAAGCACCCCCTGCCCTTTGGAGCATATCTGGGACATGATTGGTTGTCGTGTGCAACAAAGGGATCCTCCTGTACAGAACTTGGTCCAATTGGAAGCTGCTTTACACGGAGAATGGCGTAGGAAGCCACTTAAGAGGATCAGTAGGCTGACAAGGGGTATAAGGAGGAGAGTGCTGGCTGTCATATAGTCACCTGGAGGTTACACCTTGAATCGTGGCACAGGACATTTTGAATGTTCACATTCACCAGTAAATTCAACATTAAACATTCCCGGGCCATATTTGTATAGATATGGTTTTGTTTGAAAATCAGTGTGTTTTCATTTAAATGAGCAATTATCAGCATAAAATCAACATGGATTCCAATCATTTTGTCGTTTTTATGAGTCAAAGGATCATACGGGTCAGAAACTCTCATGTTATTCCATCGTGGTCACCACCAGAAGTTTTATGTACGTGTTGAAAACGTATCATTGCAAAAATACAGGGGGCGCTTAATTAAGTTCTTTCTGTATATTTGCGATGGGCTTTTTTGGCTGTTTTTAAATAAAACGAACCCAAAAGACCAAGTGTTTACTTTCTTTTGTACATCAGTGTAACAGTTAAATAGTACCAACAACGGGTTTCTGTTTGCCATCTTTAACCAAGGGATCAGATGTTGCCCCTCACCCACCCTAAAATACACACATCTTTCCCCCACCCCTCCACCCACACCCACACTACTGCGCCAGCATTGACTATCACATATCTGCAGGGACTCGAGACGGGTGGATTGTTTCCACGTTTTGTGCCAATGGGCTGTTTCTGTATCGCATGACCATCCCCGTTCATGTCTCAACAAATAAAGCAATGTCGGTATTGAAGCATGTTCTTTTTTTTATCACAAATATTTGTCTTTTGTGTGACTGAAATTCGACAAGTATACAATGTCTGGGCTGTGGGGACAACAATTGGGTCTGTAACGTCAGTCATGCTGAATCTCAGCAACTCATGCACAGCCAAGCTCGGGTTCGTTCAAGAATAGTTTTACTTTGAGCCTTCGTTAGACAGAGCGTAATGTATCCGATATTCGTGACAATTTGCTATCAGTCGGGAAGACCTCAAACGGAACCGTCATGGGCGGATTGAAGTGAAAAATGGCGGCATTTCAAGAGTGGTGATTGGATCGGCAAGGTTCTGGTAGTTTGGTAACCTGATGCCCTGCCATAGATGTGTGGGTTTACTCTGAACCTTTTCAACTTCCACAATGGATGTCATTAATTTTCTCATTGTGGCCACGTTCAGCTTCATTTAGCCTCTTCAGGCTCCACTGGTTGATGGCAGAACGCTTCTCGTCTGCTGACGCTGTCAATATTCCCATCGTTCTCGGAAGCTCGGGATCCACACACAGAGCCAACGTATCTAACCATTTCAAAACTATACATTTCTCCTTTCTTTCCTTTATGCTGAATTGAATCAGAAAGGGTTTTACAAGATGGACACATTGATGTTTGACATAATACGTTTGAAAAAAGATGACGCAACACTGAGAAAAGGGTTCTTCATCTACTTCAAACGTATCCCAATGCTGTAGTTTGCTTTTGAAATAACAAACTTTAAGACAGATCATATCGTAGCAGAGATGGGTTTTTCGTCGTGTTATGGTTTGGTGTCTAGTTAACGTGTAAAGTATGTGTGCGTGTGTTCAAAATTACTGATGTGTGCAGGAAATACGTGTACAGCAAAGCAGCGCTTTTGTAATGGGAATAGTTTTACTGAATCGAAGCACCTGCACTGGCTGTGTTTAGCACGGGTTTATATGTGACTTGAACAAGTGAACTAATTATCCCACTAGGTTAACGAGGCGCGCGTCTGTTGTTTGATCTTTACCGCCGCAGTCTGCACTGGTTCAGCTAACTGACGGTCTGAGATTACTCGAGTTTGGACCACACCGCCAAGGCATTGACGACATGCCTTCTGACTTGTCTGATGCATGTCACTGGATCGATGATCACGATATTAGTCACTGGATTATCTGGTCCAGACTCGATTATTTACAGGAAGCCGGCATAGTTTACGTGGACGTGTTAAAGTCATGATGATAGTCGTAATGCTAAGATCGGTTTGTGAAGACGGACCCTGGCTGACCAGGAAGTTAAATCGCTGATGCCTGTCAGTCGAACAGATAGATAGCGGCCATAGCTCATGTGGACGTGTTGGAGTCATGATAGTCGGAACGCTAAGATCGGTTTGTGAAGTCGGACCCTGGCTGACCAGGAAGTTAAATCGCTGATGCCTGTCAGTCGAACATAGACAGCCGCCATAGCTCATATGGACGTTATGATTGTCGTAATGCTAAGATCGGTTTGTGAAGTCGGACCCTGGCTGACCAGGAAGTCAAATGGCTGATGCCTGTCAGTCGAACATAGACAGCCGCCATAGCTCATATGGACGTTATGATTGTCGTAATGCTAAGATCGGTTTGTGAAGACGGACCCTGGCTGACCAGGAAGTCAAATCGCTGATGCCTGTCAGTCGAACATAGACAGCCG